CACCTATAAAGTGGCCAGATCTCTGTAAAGATTGTACTTGAAACACAGCCCTACACAGACACACTGCCCCAGGCTAAAGAAGAAGCAGCCCAGTTTTCTGAGCAGAGCAGCCTGTTACTTAGCAGCAGCCTCATTGTCTTTTGGTAACTTGGAGCCAGGCACCTCCTTCCCAACTGCAGGCTCACCTTTTTAATATTGCTGGTGTATTGCTTCATGGCAATCTTTTCCACTGTGCTTTCAAAACCAAAAAAAGATTTGATATCCAGACTTGCTGACTGTTCAAAACAGGTCCAGTCTTCATTGTCAGGATGAACCTGCAAGTTAAAAGATCATACAGCTCAGTTACCCATTTAGGGTTTTTTTCTCTTCACACTATTCGAAATGTTTCTTGGTTTACAGGTTCACACAGTCAAAAAACACTCAAGAGGAATCTGCAGTGTCTTCCTTCCCTTGCAAAACACGACTGGGAAGAGGCAACACTGAAGGACAAAAATCTGAGGAGCCCTCCTATGGTCCCATGGCTCTTTTTTTTTTTTTTTAAATGAACACAAAAGAGGAGGGTGGAGAAACACTAGTGCACCAGCCAAGAGCCAGAGGACTGGCACATTTTACACACTGTCTCATTCTAGATAAGGGCTGGGACTGCAGTGTTATCTGTGCAAGAGGGTAAAAGCCTCCCCAGTGAACTTCCTGCTGTGACTGACAGCCCAGGGCCAGCTCAGCCAGGCTGAGCCCTGCAGCAAGTGCAGTGGGAGCACCTCCAGGCACTGCTGTCCCCAGCAGACACCCTGCAATGCATTGCTGCTCGTTGACCTACGAGGTACCTCAGTATTTCACAGAATGAAAACTATTTTAGTTTTTTTTCTCCCGTGATGAGGCCACAGAAAGAAGTGTACACTTCTCATGTAGCTGAATACTCTGTCCTAGAGCACTCCCACCTCTCCTCTCAGCTCATCTCTTGGTTTGCTGAGATCATCCAGAAACGGACATGTCGGTACTTAGAGCTGGACTTGATCTTCAAGGTTTTTTCCAACCTAAATTCTATGATTGATGCTGATATTTTTATGAAAAGTTGTTTTCTAAACTCTCTTCAGCTAAAACAGACTTGTTTAAGCCATTTCAGGGCTGGGCTCTGAACTTGTCCCTACACAAATTCTGGATTTCTGAGCATGCACCTGTCCTGATGCCTTAGGGTTCCCTTCCCCCTCAAAACATGCTAAAATTGACTTGGAACACTGTCAACACTTTATAAGGAGACAACTACAGAAAAAAAATACCTTCCCTTCTTTTGCTTCTTCTGCTTTAGGGAACAGGAGGTACAAGAATAGCTTGTACAGACTAAGTACAAATAATAATAACATCATGTAAGAATCTTCCTGTATTTTCGTAAATTCAATTATCAATTACCTTTAATAAGAATGAACTTTTAGAAACAATTTATTCTTCCATTAAAAATCTGGTTTTGTATTTACCTAAGTAATTCCTTAATTGAGTAGATCCAGGGCAAGAAATGTTGTGTTTTCTACATATTTACCACATGCACTTTCCTGTACAGCATTTCCCCTGTTTAAACAGAGCTTTCACAGCAAAACTGCAGGGGAAAAGTATTTTTAAACTTGCCTTGGAAATAATGGCAGAAATAAAAATTAAAAGAAAATCAGATAATAGTGTCAAGTGGGTTTGACATCCAGTTATCTTTTAACCACAGGTCTGTACACAACAGAAAGTGTTATGACCTGTACATAAAACGAATGCTATAATAGAGATAAATTAGTTACATTTGTTAGCTTTGATCTGACCTTTAACAGCAATTTGAAGTTCTATTGCTATAGCATGTGCTTTAAGTGCCTATGGGCATAGGCTAAGCCATTCAGAAATAAACCATGACCAGAGCAGAGCAGTAGGCATGCCACCAGACTCCTCTGGATCAGAAAACATCTGCACTAAAGACCAAGAACAACGAAAAAAAATAGGTTAAAACATAACTGACTCGATGAACTTCTGCCTGAGCTGAGCAGAAGGCAAACAAGCTCTGCTGAACTTTGCTTTGACAGTTCTGTCAGGGTGTCATCAGCCTCACCAAGTCCCACACTGCTGTTACAGACCACAGATTTGCCTAAACAGAGCTGTCAAACGCAGCAAATTGTGTTGTGTTCTGCTCTCTGAGAAGATGCTCAAGCAAGAGGGTGCCAAACGTGTCTCAGTTCTCCGAGCAAGTGTGTCACATTTAACTCTGACAACAATTATCGCTCATGGCAGTGTGCTGGTTATTTTTTCTTGCAAGGCAAAAGCCAAGAACAACCCAACTTCTGTTTGTGTGAGTCCTGAAATCTAATCTAGCTCCATCTGTGGCACCACCAAGAGCCTGTTACTCACTGTGTAAGAGCAGTGCTCGTTAATGATGACTCTATTAGAGAAGGTTTCATTGTAGGCTTCTATGTGCAAAGTCCTCTCTCGTCTGTTCAAAGAGTTCTTCTGGACAAAGTAGACATAGTCCACTCCTGCAATCTGAGGAAGAGAAGGTAGATTGTGTTAAGATACAATACTCATGTGAAAGGATTCCTCCAGAAGTATAAAATGGGTACTGAAAAGCTCATCACCTTCTTCAGGAGCCGCGGTGCGTCGATGTCCAGCTTACAGCGCCGCTCAATCACGTGGATGGCTTCATCCTCACAGTGTCACTGGCTACAAACATAGGGATCAGAGGACACGTAGGAAACCTTCTTTCATATGCCTACGCAGATGGAAACAGAAGAAAGCAAACGACCATCACAATTAATCCCCGAGGGTGCGCCTAGAATTCCTTCACTGATGTCACCAGAATTCCTTCGCTGATGTCACCAGCATTTGGAGGCTCAATGTCCTTCAGAGCTTCCATGGAAGGGGCTGAGCTTCACTGAGTCCACATTCCAGCTGAGAGCCACAGTGTATTCCAAGCAATGCATTTATTAATACACTCCTTTCCAGTAAAACGATTTTTAAAACACACAAAATACCTCATTTCTCCCCTCCCTCTGAAAAAGGCAGTTGTTCATTTTGTGCAGCGACAACCCTCTTGTCAGCAGTAACAGGAAAATAAGACCCTCTAGTTCTAAAATACCACAGGACAAAACAATTATGTGTAGGATTAAAAAAAAACCTCCACATGCTAATTACCGGTGTTTCACCAAGCTGTCCAGAGGGATTTTCTTACAGCTCCCAAAGGTCTCATAAAAACATTTCAAAAGCTATTTCTTAAGCTAATAGAGCTCTCGAGCTCCCTGTGCAGTGTGTTCATAATGATTTCACTGCAGTTTATCAGCTCACAGCTTTGTCCAACAACAGTCAGTCAGTCTTTGCAATACAATGAGGCCCTTTCACACTTCTGAAAACGTAAAGTTTTTGCAATAATGCAGAGCTAGCAACAGCTTTGATTCTGGTGAAAGAATGAAGTCATTTGAATAAGTTATCTCCTAAATACTTGACACACAGAGAGAAGATGGCATTAAATCAGACACACTCAGACAGGATAGTAAAGAATCTGGGATCAGTAAAACAGGTAAGAGGAAAATGGGTGATATCCCCATTAATAAACTCGTTGAATTTTAGTTTTAGAACCACTGTGGCTATAGAAAACAACACAACTGTTATTTTTTTCCTTTTCTTTCATAGTCACTACAATAGCTCTGCTTCTCTTTGGCTTTTTTTTCTTAAGTAACTAAATTCTTTAGCCTGCTTTCCACATCCCAAATTACTTCAGTTTTGCTGTTATCAGAACCTCACTGGCTTTGGTGAAAAGGATTTTGCAAGGTGTCCCAATGCAGAAGAAAGATTAAATAAAGTAAACCTCAGAGAACATCACGAAACAACTCTTTAAAAGAGCTAAAATATCCACCCTGTCCTTATAGATGATTTTAACTGCTCTGAATACAGCTGGGCTGCAGCACCAACAGGGAGAGGGTGTGGAACAAAATAAGCAGCAGCTGCACAAACTATGCAATGGTGGGCCCAGAGGAGAAAAGGTCTCTTAATTCTCCCTTTAGAACAATTAAAATACTTCAGTTTATTACCAGTGTTCAACCCCAGTCTGAAGGCAGTGTTACTATGGTGACAGCGGGGCAAGGCACTAAAACAGTGCCGGCTTTTTTCCCTCGTGCATATTTTTAATCCATTTTTGCAGCATGACCGTCCCGAGTTCATAAAGCTCCTCTGTAAGGCCCCAGAAGCACAACCAGGGCAGGGGGACACACGGTCCCTTCTTCAGGAGTTCATCTGTGCACAGCTGGTTTTGTTTAAAGGAAGAACAGCGATAATTCCTGGGCTCTGGGATGTCTGCACAATAGAAGTGACAGAGCGTTAGTGTTGGAACACAGGAGCCAGCAGTGGGGGAAAAGTCTTTCCCAGCTCCAGCACAAAGGGAGGATGGCTCCTATTAACATGGTATAAGAAGTTTCTTCCTTCTTTGGTCCTATTAGTATGGCAAAGAAATTTCTTATTTCTTTTATAAGGCTCTTGTTCTGGACAGAAGGCTGTACATTTTAGTACCTCAGCTCTCTCACTGAACAAGTCTCAGCATTCTTCCTAAATTAATCCCTATTTTCACTGCAACGACTGCAGTTAAATGTTGTCCTAAGTTAGAAAAAGAAAAGATTTCCAGGAGAAACAAAACTGAGAAGTATTTCTCGTTTTCAGACTGCTTCATTTAATACTTTTATTTTGTTTTATTTGAGGACCTCGTGTTATAACCATTTTTTATAGACAGGAGAGCAGGGGCAGTACATATCTAACATTTTTCTCACTATTTTCGAAGTATTTTTTACATTTGGATGACAGTGAATTTTCCCCATCTAAACAGCCTCCTCTATGCCAAGCCTTTTTGCAAGTCTCCTTCATTGCACATATTGATGTTTTTCCCACCTTAGTTCTCAAAACACTTCCCATTTGCCCTGTGAACGCTTGCAAATCAGAACATTACCTGCTCCTGAGCGTTTACTGAACTGTGAACAAAGAAATGCCCAAGAAGAATTTGTTGTTCTGAATGGGAAGACTGAACTGAATGTGTTCAATTTGGAAAAGAACAAAATAATTATCTGCCAAAAGCTGGCAAGCTGAACTGCTTACAGCAAACTACTTGAAGGTTCCAAAGAGATTAACAGTAACACAGGATTCTTCCTCCCTAAAGAATATGCACACAGAGTATTGAAAGCTGTTCACAGTCAGTTTTATTGAGCTCTTAAATTAGTCCTGTTTTTGTTGTTTTTTTTTTTTATGTACCATTGCCAATATGTTCTTGTAATGCATCATTTCTCAGAATAATTCACGGTTTGAATAAAAAGTGATTAGAGTGAACCACGGCCACATCAAAATATTCCATCTGATTCAAGCATAGTTGTGCCTTCCACATGTGTCAGACAGTGCTGAGAGGGCAGGGAAACGGTGCTAAAGACTACAGGACACTGGTAGATCCTCCTTCACCATGGACCAGCACAGCCCAGGAAAAAAACCTGTAATTTGGGGTACAACACAGCAAGAGACACGTGAGTCAGGGCAGCACATGCAAGGCCAAGACTGCGGCTATTAAAAGAGCACGAGAAGATTAAAGGAAGATCAAACGCTGCTTTTATTTTCTAACAGAACTGAAGGGATTTTCCTGTGTTGCTGAAGTGTTTTGAACCAGAAGTTTTGCCTCAAATGCAGCTTTGCAGACAGGAAATAACTGAACTGTGTTATCCAATGTTCCTCCAGCAGCCTGATAAAGCACAGTACCTTATAAAATGCTGCACATTCCCTGTATGATAGAGTTGGGGTTAAACCAGGTCTCTGTTTACAAATAAAATCATTAGATAGTCCACACCTTTGTCTCAGGATCCCAATTTCGCTCTACAAATACAATCACAAAACACAATTAGTTCCTCAAAAGCAAAGAAGCTGCAGCAGACCCTGAAGGACTCCATGCAAGAATGAAAAGCTGCTGCTGTAGGACTCAATGCACCTAAGAATGGTGTTGCAAGGACCATTTTCTCCTGTCACATGTAACACACGTGGCGTGTGCAGATTCTGCTGTGGAGCACAAGTAAAAAGCCCAGATGTGCTCACCCTCAAAACCTCTACAGCTGCTGCTGGGCTTGACATGAGAAGCTGCAACACCTCTTTGGCTGAGAGAGAGACACCTGGGTGCAGATCTGTTAAAAGATGATTTTAAGCCTGCAATTCTGCAGTTCCCCAATAACGTACTTTTTACAGCGTCCCACCAGCCTCTGGAACATTTGCATACTCTGATATATTCGAAGCTGCATCAAGAAAAACACAGTCTGGTGAAGCAGCTTGAACTGCAAATTTAACTTTCTTAATGCACGTTAACAGCAAGAGCACTGACAGGCATAATTTCAACCAAAACAGCACTGTAATAAAGGTTCTTTCCAACTGCTTCCCTTAGCAACTCATGCTCGGAGGAGAGTCAAAATAACAGGATTTATTCCACTTTTATCCTTGCTAGTATTTCAGCTGTGTTTAAAGACATGAAAGCATTTCAGAAGTCAGACTATTTTAAACCCATTGCAGTTGTTTTTCATAGCCAAGGGAACTGTACTTGCTGCTGCTGCTGCTGCCCTCAGATTTTGGAATTCTACTATCAGGAATAACGAGTTCCTTTCAACATACCACCTTTAAAACAGCATCTAGGTATGACCCCAAACCACTCTTCCTGAGGACCAAAGACTTCTGGCTTTTTGCTTCTCAAACCATGCCCAGGGCTAATAAAATACCTTGATAACAGGCATGTGTTCAGCCCTTCAGTGGGAAAAGTCAGTCATTTATGCAAATAAATTACTCAGCTGCTCTGGCCAGATTAATATATTCCCAGTCTCCTGCCTTCAGGGATAGGGACTGTTCGGTATTTCCATTAGATGACTCAAAACTACCTTCTGTACTGAAAAGAAGAAAAAAAAATCTTGCAAGCAATCTGATGCTCTGCTGTTCTAGTAGCTGAATCCTCCAAAGAGAAATTGTAACTGAAAATAAGCAGTGAATAAGCAGGAATTTCAGTCACCATTTGAAAAATGAAGCATATTGAGTGCTTTATACACCTTAATTGCATGAATCAAGCTCTTAAGATGCTTTATTTCTTTTTTTGATGTTTTCTCATCAAACTGGCTGGAACAGTGACCTTCCAAGAGCAGCACAACATCCTCCAAGGGCACCTCAAGAGAACCCACGAGCAGATTCATCCTGGCAATCCAGTCTAGTCTGCAGCACTCTGTGTGTGCCACATCCCAACTTTAATTCCTGCCTGCAGCACCTGCCTACGTGTGGGCACTAATCCTATACACTTCCAGTACGTGGGACTCCTGAATTATTCATAAACACACAAGAAACAAGAAGGGTCGCTCCAGCAGGAGCTGCCCTGGCCCGACAGGCTGCATTCCAGCAGCTTGATCATTCCTGCATTCCTGCACTACATCCCTTCCTCCCCCTGCATTAGAGCACTGCAGATCAATAGGAAAAGCACTGGCTCATGGGAGGGCAACCAAGAGGTTTCAAATTCTTGGCAGCTGCATTTGGAAAGGAACAATTCTGGATGAACTCTCACAGACCAGCAGACACCTCCTCATGCCCCACACACTGCTGTTCAGAGCTCCCTACCTCTCTCCCTATAATCCATCCATCCATTTAAAAATCATTATGCCTGTACAAAGCAGTGTGATCTCGCTGCCAGTGTCTGAGGGATGTGAGCTCACACGGCAGTGATCAGCTCGGGGGGGTGGTGTGGAAGAAAACAGATGGTTAGAGCGGATATACCTCAAAAAGCTCTAGAAATAGGTTTTTTTTGGTAAGGTAACACTCCCAGGCACCAGCAACAGGAACGTGAACCAGACTGCAGCTTGGGAAAGAACAAACATGTTGAATATAGAGGGAGTCAGCTCTCTGGAAAGAAACCCTCCTCTGAAGCCAGTTCTGGGAGGAGGAACAGCCTTCCAAGGACACGTTCATGGTACCCAGCCAGTCCCAGCAGCACAGTTACACTTTGCTTTTTGCAGTGACCTTTTCCCAGCACTGCAGCTCCACAGCAGCCCTTGCTCAAAGGAGGCTTAAATGGTTTTTCTCTCCACTGCGTTTTCACTTCATTAAACGTTCTCATTTACAAAGAGAGAAGTTATTCTCCTATCGCTGGGAAACAAAGGCTGCTCGGCAGCCACTCAGTTCTAGAACTCTCTCTCTGGAAAAGGCCAAGAATGCTTTAGTTACAGATGAGGTTTGTGGGGACTACAGACAACCCACCAGCACGAGAGACGCAGGGTCAGACCTGTCAGTGAATGGCTGTGTATCACCTGAAACACAAAAATTTCCTATATGCACCATTTCTGGTCCTAGACAAATGAGAGGTAGTTTAACCATCCTTATTTTTGATTTCTCTGTAAATCCTGGCCCATCAAGGTATCACTAGTCAGACTTTCAGGGATGATAACCCACTGCACAACTGGTGTGTGTAGAAGTGGACATTACCCGCAAGAGACCTTCCCTACTACTTTTCTCGACCACGTAGAGAACACAATGCCTTACTTTAAAAGGAGGGGGGGAAGTTTAAGCCTTCCATTGCAATTTTTTACCTTTAAAAAGTGTTTAAAAGTGTTCAAATTAGAACTAGAACACAATACACTCCTCCAAAGGTTTTCCAGCAGGGCTCACCAGTGGTGAACCTGCTGGCTGTCACAGCCAAGATCAACAAACAAAATGTTTGCATAACAACTTATCACTGAACTGGATTAAGCAATGAGAAAGCACATCAGGAAATACCTTGTGTGGAAGCCCTCCAAATTAAAAAATTATAATCCTTCACCTGAAAGAGAGTTACTTCAAGGATCATAAGAATTAAGGCAAAGTATTTTGCCCCACAGTGGTACAAAGTCACTCAGGAACAAGATATATTGTCTTCACCCTCTGTTGTTCCGTGGTATGAGATGATATTTGGCCATTTAAGTATTAATGGTGACTATTAAGTGTATCCAAGAAAAAATAAATAACCCTTCTGTAAGTCACACTGAAAAAAAAAAAAAATCAATAGGACAAGCCACTATCAGTAAGACAAACATTCTGCTTCATTTTAGAAGCTAAAATTTCCTGTTAACTACACAAGTGTAGAAAGTGCTACTGACCTTGGACTTTCTAATTAAATGATCATTAGTGCATTTAGAGTGTCAGTTTACAGCACTGTTCACATACAGTCTTCCAAAGCAAAGCATTCCCAAGTAATTGCCCAAAATGGCACAAATGCTTCTACTTTGCAGGAATACATTCACTCCTTAAAGTTCATAAACAATGGAGTTGGTCTAAAATTTTCATAAAGGGGGCTATGAAAGTTTTATATAATTATGCATCAAATCCTTGAACTGTAATTACAATTAGTTTTTTAGTCCTTGAAGTCCTATTTTTTGTTTTGTTTGTTTTTTTGTTCCAAGAGACCACACAAAGCCACTTTATTATACAAATTACGAGACAAGTGCTAACAAGAATCTACTCTGCACAGATGCTGTTCAAGAATTCTAACTGAAGGCTAATTAATTTCTCCAACAGCAAGCAAAGCAAGCTGGAGAAATGACCTCAGCTGTTCTCCAATGCAGTGATCAGAGCTTTCAGGTAGAGTATGTGGGAAGAAAAGTTGTCAGTGCTTCAAAAACGTACTGCAGCATGACATTCAGATTCCTAAAACGCTGTATTTATGGTACTGCACTGAAGTAGTGCTCAAATTTACAGCCCAGGTCTATGTCTCTCATAATCAGAAAATCCATGGCTCAACTGATTCAGGAGAGACTATCCCTGAATCAGTCCTGGCCTTACAGACATTAATGGATCCTGCACAGTCTCCAAGCATTCCCTGTGCTTGGAACACTCACAGTTGTTAAATAACCTGTGCTCTGAGCAGCCCAGACACCTACAAACACTGAAGGTCACCAGAGAAATCATTCCATTAACACCACCAGGGCTTCACTGGGCCTTGCTGGAGCATGAAGTGCTGCAATGACTTGCTCTTCACAGTATCCTTGTCTCGAGAAAAGCATCTGAGAGCCTTAACAGGCTTAACAGCCAGTAAATTGAGCTTCCTCAACTTGCCTCTCCTTCTGTGGAAAGGAAATGAAAATTCCTGAGAAATTCTCCAGAAAACCAGGAGCTCAAGAAAACGAAACCATCTGTAAGCAGAGGTGGACAAGAAACCACTTTTTCCCTGGCATTAACCAAAGCCATTAAATTCTTGCCCCTGATGGCTCCTCTGTCACTCAGGAGCCCTGCATGGAAGAAAAGCTTTTATCAGGTGCACAGAAGAGCATAATCCCTACCCCTCCTTGCCTTCTTTTGATGCTTACACTTGTTTAAAGGGGTTCTCTTCATTTAATCAGGTTTCACTGGAAAGGATTTCAGACCCTACACTGCTACAAATGACCCACTAGACCCTTGCAAACGTCCACACAGAAAGAGGAAGAGAGATTTATTCCAATACATTCAAATTCCCCCCTGGCTTAACTATATAAAGCCTCAGATCTTAACACTTCATATGAAAAAGAGGGCAAGACTGTTCTGCTCATTTTTAAATTTAGCTGTATTAGAAGCCCACAGTACTTTCCAGTTAAGTAAATATCCAGTTAAGTTTCTTGCACATTTCAAATAGACTCTACCTGTTAAAATCATCTTATGGACTCACCACTGAATAAACAATACCTATTTGTTCTACCAAATAGGTTAACAGGCCTGTCATACCAAGCAGGCACAGCAATTTGCTGCTCAAATCCTAGAAACACAGCAAGAAACCTCCCATCTCCACATCCATTCTGCAAATTCCTGAAACAAAGTCCCTGAAAACAATGAGGACGTTCCCCACAACCACTACAAAATAACCCAGCATAAAGACTAAACTCAAACCAAATAACTATTTTGTAATCTTACATGAAGGGCTTTGATTCAGTGAATTAAAAATCTCTGTGGAGTCAGGAAATGGCAGAGAAGTTACTCTTGTGCTTTAGCTCCAGTAAGTTACTCCAGCTGAGAGAGTTTTTTGTTGGCCTCTGGCTCCAGACAGCACTTACCACTACTCATCCAAAGCACATGAGGGATGTACATGGGGAAGCAAAACAACCCTTCAGAACAGACTCCCTGTGGCTTCTGACAAGGAGCAAAGCCCTGTTACACATAACAGAGCTTTATCTCCCCGCAGCTCTGCAGACACAGTCCAGGCTACTTCACACCTATTTAATCTCTTCCAAGTCTTCTGCAGTGTAAAAGGACTAACTTCCTGTTAAATTTGGGGCATAACAATAGTTTATACACATAGACAATCACAAAAAATCATGAAATGGTATTATAAAGGAAACTGTGTGTTTGATAGCTCCCAGTTAAAGTGCTGCTTACACAGCACATCACACACCAGCCTGGATTTCTGACAACGGGACCTTTCGTGTGTTGAACTGCTACAAAGCACTTCCAAGTGAATGTAACCACACTAACACACAAATACTGGCATTTCTGTCCATCTCTGTAGCTCAGGCAGCATTTCCATGGTTACAGTGTTGATCACTATTGGCTCTAAGCAGGTTCCAAACCCAGATCAAATGCATAACCTGGCGTTTTAAACAGCCCTAAAAGCTACCCTGCAGGCCAGTTCTGGTCACCTGGGCCCTGAGTCCCTCTGAGGTGTAATGAACTCAGGCACAGAATCACTGACTCACTCAGGCTGGAAAATACTATTAAGACCATTGAGTCCAACCATTAACCCAGCACTGCCCAGTCCACCACTGGAAAGTCAGCACCCTGCTCATTACACCCTCCAGGCCTCTCCAAAAGCAGCCACTGAAACAGGACAGATCTCTGAGCAACCTCATCACAGCATCAGCACCATATTCCCAAACTTTGGTACCCATCTTAGTCTGTCTTGCTTGTGCTCAAAATTCTGTCCTTTGAGGGCACCATGCAGGGATCCCATCAGGAGCCGTACTGAAATCAAAGAATTCTTACTGCACAAAACATTCTCCCAAACCACGTGGATTTTGGGGTATTATCTTAGCTGTCAATCACAGGACACTGTTTGCAAAAAGCACCTCTGGTAGCTGTTCCAGAGAACGTTTTGGAGAAACTCAGGCTAAGAATCAACTAGACAAGATTATGAGTATCAGCATCACTTCCATTAGCAGGAGTTAGAATTCATTCTTTTCTATTAAAATTTAAAAAGTCATAGAAAAAAGTTATTAAAAGTTATAGAAGACATCAAACCCAGCCCCAAGAAGACAGTAACAATTTCAGGGGGGAAAAAAGCCTTTCCCTGTAGCAATTTAAAAAGTTTACACACGTTTCAGAGTTTTAGTTTACCTTCTCTGCGAAGCAAATGTGAAGTAAATAAGTGCTCATTTTTCAACCAGAATACAAGCCAGAAATCAGAAGGATTTCACAGGCAGATTATTGAAAGGATGCTCCATTTAGACAGCACCTACAGTTAAATACCTGTAAAACTCTCAGCAGACCCTAGGAGCACTTGATTATAGAGATATATATATATATTCAGTAAGCATTCTTGACAAGTTTGAGTTATACTAAACAAAGCACAGATTTGCTTAAGACTGCCTGAAACCAAAAACAAAGTGGGGGATAGAAGAAAAGGCAAAAAGCAGAAGGAAAGTGTTATTGGGGGACTGCAAGGTCTGCAGCAAACTGCATCTGTATTGGAGCATAAATGTATTGGCTCCAGAGCTGGTGAATCTCAGCCTTGGCATCCAGTGTTTTCAAGCATGAATAAAGTTACTCTAATACTTTAATATTTCATTAAAATAATTTAGGCCTTATAAATAAAGCAGGAGATCCAAAACAGGCTATGAAGCAATCTTCTAGGTAAGTGGAATTTTACTGGTAATTCACTGTCGAGTTACGTAACTGCGGCCACCAACCCACCCGAGCAAGCCAAGGGCTCCTTCCTGCACCAGGAAAAAACAGCCAGACAGAAACCTCAGTTCTCAGGAGGGATGGGACCAGTCCAGCCACCCACACAGGCTCTTTCTACACAGATCAGTACTTTATCCCTCTCAGTGTACCCTTCCTATTCAACATCTGGGAGTTTTTATGTCAGAAAAGTGGTCACAGAGAAGCTTTACCATCAAAATTACAGGGGCTTGTGTTGCATGCAATGAAACAGGAAGGGAACTGGCTCTTAACCATCTGAGAACCACTTTGCTACACGCAGAGATGCCACGTTCTTCCACATAAAAACTACATCTTCAATGATTTAATGCAGCTTCTTTCAGATTTCTGGTGGTAAAAGATGCACCGGCTCAGCAGGCAGAACAGTTTGGGGATAAAGGAGCTGACCTGAAGACATGTTTTATCTGTAAAAGGAGGACCTTCAATAACCACAGGCATGCCTCAACGGGACTTTAATTTGAAGAGTGGTTTCTTTAAAACAGATCTGAGTCATCTGTGGTTTGCCTAAATAAACCTGCACAGGTGGAACTGTGTCACACTTGACACAATTCTTGTCTGGGAGCTTGAACGTCCATCTTCAGACAACACATTAATGACCAGGGCAGGGTATGAGGAGAAAGTGGACAGCTTGTGTAGGAGTTTTGGAGTTAAACCTGCTTTGCCTCCCAGGCACTCACAGAGAATCATTAATTCTCTTCCTCCCTTTGGGAAGCCCAGACAGCCCAAAAGAGCCCAAAGCACAGTGCCACTCCACTAAAGAGTGAGCAAGCCTAACTTCAATTGCAGGCTTTGCACAATCCTGAGACACAAATCTCTAAAATGAGAAGCTGGAACAGGGAAGTTGGGCAAGTACTACTCCTTCCTCAAAAAAACCAAAAGATTAAGGACAGAAAACCCAACCAATGCAAATAAATAATAAATGCAAATAAAATAATTTTAATCTTCCTTTCCTTTGGAGTAAGCTGGGAAAGCCTGATCACTCAGGTTAGGCTGGCTTATGACTGAGACCAAGATCAAATTGCTGGTTAGAAAGAAAGCAACTTACATTGCTCTGGTCTAGGCTGAAGGTGGAATATCAAGGACAGACTTTGCAGCCCTGCTGCTCCAAGCTGCCCTTCAGTATACACAGACCTTACCTGACCCAGTGGGGGCAACAGCAGTATCAGATGGACCTGCAATTTCACTGTAACTTGTTTATATTAAATGCATTTGCAAAACCACTCCGTGTTCAGAAAAGGAAAAAAAAAAAAAGTCTGCCTTGCCCGTGTTCCAAACAGGACAGATGGAAATCAGCCTGGCCCAGAAGCCACACAGCTCCGAGCACAACGCTGCGTTTGACAGAACGTGCCCTGCAATTAGAGTCAACTTCAGGGGTTCCTATGATAGGAAACTTGGCTTCTGACCCCAATTGCACAGGACACGACTGTTTTGGCTCAAGGTTAAAGTACTATGGAGAAGAGGCTGACCTCCAAAAGAGCATCACAGCACAGGCTGGCGACAGGCCAGTGACAGCTTAAATGCCTGGAGACTGACATGTGATTGCTGGGGAATGTGAGCTATTCCCAAGCACTTCCTATTTCCCTGCAACGCTGGCAATACACAAACCTTTACACAACACAGGGACATATCTTTAAATTTTTTAAGAGGCACACATAAAAAGGACTGTAAACCATAAAGCTTGTCTCACCACTTATTGTAAATAACCATTACTTGTCCTACAGCAGCTGAACAATCACAGCTATGTTCTGTGCTGCCAACAGGCAGCTCAAAGGCACAGGGTGCTGTCACAGTGAAAGCAGAATTTGGAACTTGGCTTCCCCTTTCCTTTTCCAGTTAACAAAATTGCATGTCTGGTTCCTCTGAAGAGGAACCAAAGTTTTACTTTAAAATTCAGCTGCAATCCCACTGTGTCCACTGAGGATCTATTTTTAGAACAGTCAAATATTCCTTACTGCTCTATTGTACCACGCTTAAGTCTCACTTTTACGAGCCCTATAATTAGTATTCGTCACTTGTTTGGTCTTAGAATCAGAGACACTTTCAATAAGAAGGTCTGTTAAAACATGTTTAACATCTGGAATATGTTAAGCTATTTTTAAATAAAATTATTACTGTGCAGACAAAATTTAATTTAGCAGTGGAGGAGGAAAGGATGACTACAGCACTGCTACAGTATGGGCTCAGAATTCCTCATTAAACCAGTGTCTGTAAAGACTTGTACCACCACAAAAAACAAAGCCTCCAGATCTCCAGTCAGATCCCCCCCTCCCCATGAAGGTTCAGTGAAACAGGTTTGACTTCATTGCCTCAGACTTCACCCACCAGGTTTTCATTTGGCCCAGAGGCAGTTGGCCTCTAAGCCCTGCACTGGTGATTTCACTCTTCCAAGACCATAATCAGTACATTGAGCTTTGCCAAAAGGACGTAATTCAAGATAAACAGCATGGCTCAATTAATGTAAAGGTCTCAGTTTGGCTTTTGGACCAGCAAGATATTACCTTCCAGACAGAAAGCAGCCATACTCTATTAAGTAAACCAATTAAATTTTTTTTAAGTACACCAATTAAAACTTGACCATTCACTAATGTCAATGGAATGCCATCAAAATGCAGCATGATAGGGCCTGGAGCCCACAGGCTATTTAGCTCTTAAGCTGGGAAGTGAAGTGGAACAAAAAAAAATTTCTTTACCTTATATCCATGTCTGATGTATCAGAGATCCTCAGAAAGGTTAAAAACTGATGGTGGAAGATCAACAGCACAAAGCAGGGGTTCCTTACATGACATCATAAACTACTGAACAGACTCAACACCATGAAAATGAGTATTTAAAAACTGAGGGAGATACCTGACATACCTACCAGGGCAGGCAGCACAGAGAACCGAGTTTGGTTTTCCTGCCTCTTCCAACACGAGAAGGAGGGAGGCTGAGCCAGAGCCAGGCTCTAGAGAAGGGATCTGTCTCTTGACAGAGCATGTCATGAAGCACTGGGTGTCAGGGTGACATGACAGAGCTCACTTGGCTCCAGAAAGGAATTGGGAGGCACAAGAAATCCAGCACATGCAATGTTATTACAGACAACGGCACACTCGGGACCAGAAGCACTGTCAAGACACATTGCTGGAGGATGAGAGAGTATCCTAAGAGAGTGTTACCATATGTTTATCTCACTCTTATCCTCTCCCCTAGAGGCAGATACTGCCCTTGGCCTCTGCCAGAAACACAGCACTCCAGCAAAAGAGAGGTCTTATGGGGCAATTCAGTTCTGTGGTCCCTGTTAAGAGACAAACACAACCCCCTTCCCCATGACCAAATACATCTCTCAGGTCTCAATAACCAGGTAGTACCACTGGCAGGGTAAGGTTGTACAGCTTCTGCACCCCCGGATCTGCTTCCCAACAAAACACAGACAAAGATATCACCTCCCTTCAAACATAAGCCAGTTGAAAAAGAACAGTCTAGAGTTGTTTAATTCTTTTCTAAAAAGCTATTAAAATCATAGATTAGAGACAATCAATTCTTTGTTCTTTACCCTCCTTTACAGCAAAGAAAGGCAAACAAAAGCATGAATAGGTTTAGCCAACACGGAACAAACAAGTTCAAGAGAAATTGCTTTAAATCCTGTTCATTACAACATCAGTGGCTGCACCACACGGACCATGAAACACCTCAATAGAAATAAGTAATTTCAGAGAGCCATGAATTCAGTAATGAAGAACTTATCTACAAGCCAATGCATTGCACAGCAAAGACAGTTTTGCAAACCATGTAGTATAATTTACACACTGAATGAAAATAGCCAGGAAAAACACATCCTCTGGAAGAGGTTCTGCTGACTGATGTTCCTGAGCTGGACTGAGTGTCCGTGGCATTCCCATTTTACACTGAATGGAGAGACACAAAGCACTCCAGAAGGGAAGTGCTCTCCTCAGGAAACCGTTCCCTTCTGCTGTGGCACAAACAACTAGAAATGGCACGTCGCCATCCTGACCATCACCAGGGAAATATTCACTTTCACAGAATGAGCTCTGTTATTACCAAAGCGATATGATCTAATATTACAGCGGCAGTAGGCGAGGCAGAAAGTTATCAGAGAGGCTGAAATGTTGAGGTTTGCAATGGAGCTTTCAACTGCTACACAAATTGATCTGCATATGTTTCCAAAGGCATCTACGGTCAAGTTTTGAGAATATAAATAATGTCAGAATGAAAACTGTTGTAATTATCCCACATGTAATCCATACCCCTACGGGTTTTGATATTTAGCTTCACAAATCTGACCATGACAAAGCCTTGAAATGCTACTTTAAGAGAGCACACACATATATAATTAAGAATTAAAACAGTGCAAATAAAAATTCATTTTTAATACAAAAGGGTAGCTTCCCTCCCACAATCCCTCTGTGGTCACCAGAGTTAAAACTGGTAGGTTCCAACAGCCCTGTGATATTTTTATTTTCAAATTTGCTGATATATAGAACTCAAACCTAATTATCATAAAGTAAAACCCAAGAGGAATCCAAGACAGAGAATGCTCAAAT